CGGACGAAAATGTTACCTGGCAACTGTTCGTGGGGATGTCCCTTCCAGGTATAAATTTGTTTTTGCTGATAAATTTGCTCGGAAACTAATGATTTGGCAAGGAATCTACAGTTGTGGCCTTAAAACCAAGGTTTTCATCACATCTCACACAATGACTCGAAGGTTTACATTAAAGAGTGTCTGAAAAAGCGGATTTTACCCTTCATTCGGCAACACAAGACCAACGTTATGTTTTGGCCGGATCTAGCCAGCTGTCACTACTCTAAGGAGGCACTAGAATGGTATGCTGCAAACAATGTTAATTTCGTCGCCAAAAAGATTAATCCTCCGAATTGCCCTGAGTTTAGACTGATCGAAAAATATTGGGCAATTGTCAAGCGAAAACTTCGAGGATGCGGTAAAGAAGTGACAAATGCACAACAAATGCGTTTAAAGTTGAATAAGTTCGCCGGTACAGTGTCACCAGCGACTGGGCAGATCTTGATGGCATCGAACACAAGTAAAGTGCGACAGTTCGTTCTAAACGGTGAAATGTAATAACTTGTTATATATCGTTTGGAAGCTGGATAAATACCCATTTGTTGGACGTTTTGATCAACCGTGTATGTTATTTAATTCTTGAGTTATGATCACTTGAAAGCGTCCAAATTTACTTTGAATCGGGCTTTAGATTCATCAGAATGAACTCGGAGTTGTGCCTGGAAAATGGACCCCGGGGTCATTGCATGGTCCTCCAAAATATCCGAAACATCCGTTAAAGTGGTGAATTCAAGAAAACTGATCTCAGCTCTCTGTGGTTTTCTTAGAACTGCTCATAGACCTAGACCGAGAATAATTCCTTGGATTTCTTGGACTTCTTTCTCTTGACTTCTTGGAGATCTATCTTTGGAGTTAAAAGTTAACGACGGTATATCATAGTTTTTATTCATCACATCAAAATTTATCCAATAAACAATTTAAAAATATCGAGTTATTGAGTTCTTATTCATATTAATTTATGAATTGGTTTGAAAAAAAAAACGCGGAGCTCTAGGGTCAGTTCCATGAATTGACCACTTTTTCGAATGTTTCGGTGAACAACCCCGTTAGTCTTCAGAGTCCATATTCCGAACACTTAGCATACGCGCAGAATCTCGAGGCAGCGTTGCCAGAGGAGTGCCCCCTCTAGAGGACTGCTGGAGTACAGTAAAAGCAGCCATCACCGACGCAGCCGAGAGCACCATCGGGTACGTGGAAAGAATGGTTCGACGAGGAGTGCAGAGCAATTTTGGAGGAGAAGAACGCAGCGCGGGTGGTAATGCTGCAGCGGGGAACCCGACAGAACGTGGAACGGTATATAAACAGAAGCGGAAGCAGCAGACCCGCATTCTTCGGGAGAAAAAACGCCGCTTGGAAGAAGTGGAGTGCGAGGAAATAGAACTGCTGTGCCGTTCCCAAGAAACACGGAAGTTCTACCAGAAGCTGAACGCATCCCGCAACGGCTTCGTGCCGCGAGCCGAAATGTGCAAGGATAAGGACGGGAGCCTCTTGACAGACGGACGTGAGGTGATTGAAAGGTGGAAGCAGCACTTCGATGCGCACCTGAATGGCAAGGAGAACGTAGGCACGGGAGACCAGCGCAATGGAGGAAACGACTACGTCAGTGCAGCAGAGGACGGAACTGACCCAACTCCCACGCTGAGGGAAGTTAAGGATGCCATTCAGCAGCTCAAAAACAACAAAGCGGCTGGTAAGGATAGTATCGCAGCCGAACTCATCAAGATGGGTTCAGAAAAGTTGGCCACCTGCCTGCACCGGATGATAGTCCGAATCTGGGAAACATAACAGCTACCGGAGGAGTGAAAGGAGGGGGTAATCTGCTCCATCCACAAGAAAGGCGACCATTTGGAATGTGAGAACTTCAGAGCGATCACCATTTTGAATGCCGCCTTCAAAGTGCTATCCCAGATCATCTTCCGTCGTCTATCACCTAAAATGACCGAGTTCGTGGAAAGTTATCAAGCCGGCTTCATCGACGGCCGATCGACAACGGACCAGATCTTTACCGAACGGCAAATCCTCCAGAAATGCCGTGAATACCAAGTCCCAACGCATCATTTGTTCATCGACTTTAAGGCGGCATACGGCAGAGCTATGGAAAATCATGGACGAGAACGGCTTTCCTGGGAAGCTGATCAGACTAATCAAAGCAACGATGGACGGTGTGCAAAACTGCGTCAGGGTTTCGGGCGAACTATCCAGTTCATTTGAATCTCGCCGGGGACTGCGACAAGGTGACGGACTCTCATCAACATCGCTCTAGAAGGTGTAATGCGACGAGCCGGGCTCAACAGCCGGGGTACGATTTTCACGAAATCCGGTCAATTTGTGTGCTTTGCGGACGACATGGACATTATCGCAAGAACATTTGGAATGGTGGCAGAACTATACACCCGCCTGAAACACGAAGCAGCAAAGGTCGGACTGGTGGTGTCAAAAACGTCAAAAACAAAGTACATGCTTGTAGGCGGAACCGAACATGACAGGATTCGTCTAGGAAGTAATGTCACGATAGACGAAGATACTTGTAGTGGAGGAATTCGTTTACCTTGGATCCTTACTGACGGCGGAGGATGTGAGTCGTGAAATAAGAAGGCGCATTATCAGTGGAAGTCGTGCCTACTACGGGCTCCAGAGGAAACTGCGGTCAAAAAAGATTCACCCCCGCACCAAATGTACCATGTACAGAACGCTAATAAGACCGGTGGTCCTCTATGGACACGAGACATTGACTATGCTCGAGGAGGACCTGCAAGCACTCGGAGTTTTCGAGCGACGCGTGCTAATGACGAGTGGCGGCGAAGAATGAACCACGAGCTCGCTGCACTCTACGGTGAACCCAGCATCCAGAAGGTGGCCAAAGCCGGAAGGATGCGGTGGGCAGGGCATGTTGCAAGAATGCCGGACAACAACCCTGCAAAGTTGGTGTTCGCTACTGATCCGGTTGGCACAAGAAAGCGTGGAGCGCAGAGAGCGCGATGGGCGGACCAGGTAGAGCGTGATCTTGCGAGCGTTGGGCATGACCGAGGATGGAGAGCGGCAGTCGCAAACCGAGTATTGTGGCGTACTATCAACAATCAATATGAAACTAACGATTTTAAATTGTTTCACTACTTGACTAGCCTATTGGTCCCAAGCAAATCGATTAACATACCCCATTCTAGTCAAAATTCTAGTACTTCACTATGTTTGTTTTGATTCGCTATGAAAGTTTGACAGATAAAAATTGGATTTTCATATGTTTCGAGGGGTGCATCGATTAGCTTGGGACCGAAGATAGTACCAGAGCTGAGCCAAAGAGTTGAGCTCGTTTCTTCGGGACCTTCTGGTCTTAGAGTTACCTCTATGGTACTATTGTTGATTATGTCTTATCTTAAATGTGATGTTGTACAAATATATATACACACTAAGATTATTTTACAGATTTCTGTAAAAATTTCTAAGTGTGTATGTATGTATGAATGTATTCCGAACATAGCCCCGAATTCATTCTGATAAGATATCTATGAGTGCTTTCTAAAAAAAAAAAAAACAAGGAGCCCTAGGATCAGTTTCATGAATTGACCACTTCAACGGATGTTTCGGATCTTTTACAGGATCATCCCGTGGTCCACAGTTTAAATTTTCTGGTCAAAACTCCGAATTTATTGTGATACGTCGTCTTAAAAACCGTGGAGCTCTAGGATCAGTTTCATGAATTGACCACTTTTAGGGATGTTTCGGATCTTTAACAGGATCATCCCGTGGTTCACAGTTTAAATTTTCTGGTCGAAACTCCGAATTTATTGTGATAAGTCGTCTTAAAAACCGTGGAGCTCTACGATTAGCTGCATGAATTGACTACTTTTACGGATGTTCCGGTGGACCATCCCGTAGTCTCCAGAGTCCATATTCCGAACACAACTCCGAATTCATTCTGATAAGATGTCTACGAGTGGCTTCTAAAAAACAGCGGAGCTCTAGGATCAGTTTCCTGGATTGACCATTTTTACGGATGTTCCGGATCTTCCACAGGACCAGACTTGTGTCTTACCGGTAACTGACTTCTATAGGAATCCAGTGGCATCAGTACTATAGGAATCCGGCAGGAACGAATCCGTTCTTTAGAAATCTTGACTGTACTTCATTTTGAAAGTATTGAGTTAATTTCCAGTTTGGTGCTCAAAGCAGCCAGCGATGCCAACCTTCCAGATTTATCTGGAATCTTCCGTTTTTTATAGTATTCCCAGACAAGAGCAGACTATACATGATTTTTCCAGATTTTTCCAGAGTTCTCAATTCACCTTGATTCACAATGTTAATGAAAGGAGGCATCAAACGATTTTATCGCTATCGGAAAATTTAAAATATTATTCCTCGGGAAATGATTAAGGAGGACGATCAAAAATTTAGAGAGCTGATAAATCATAACTTTTTGAATTATTTCTGGATGAAACAAGCAACGTGGTTCACTTTTGGGGTTAAAGTATGAGTTACGACAAAATGTGGTGGTGAGCTGGCATTTCCTCAACTAAGAAAATGTATACCAAGTTTGATTGCCCTGCCACGCTCATCATCTTCCGTCGATCTGTTTGAAAATTTCCAATGGGAATTAAATATAAATTGAAAGGAATCTTGACACAGGCTTAACGTTTCAACAATTCATGGAATTCTAGTTTGAATAATTATGTTAACCTTCACACCAATGATAGTGGTTAGGTGCATGTCTCCTCGACAATCAAATTTAAATGTATTATTTCAAAGCATGCCAAAAAAAAAACAAACGAATAACCTTGTTCTGTTAAACATAAATGTGAACACATTGAAACAAATTGGCATATATTAATAAAAACTTCATTATGTTGAATATCCAGACAAATCCAGACTTTTTATTGTGCATCAGCCAGATTTTTCGAAAAACCACTTGGCAACCCTGGTTCGAAAAGTAAATAACCTAACCTAACCTGAAAACATCTACTTACCACTTTCCGTAGCATCCCCATTGGTAGCAGCCGGTTCTTCCTTCTTCTCCGCGCTGTCACCGTTCACCGCTTCTGGGGTGGTAGCAGAACCCGCGGCAGCATCTCCACCCTCACCGTTGGACTTTCCTTCATCATCCTTCTTCTCGTCACCATTTTCCGAAGACTTATCCTTTTTGCTGCTCTTGTCTTCGCTGGCCTGCTTCTTCGACTTGGTCTTGGCCGGGGTAGCTGGTTTCGGTTTCGGTTCCATAGCCGGATCCAGCACCAACTTGCCGATGTTCTTGCGGTCGTGCATCTTCTGCATGGCTTCAGCAACATCTTCCAGAGCCCAGGCGCTGTCTACCACCGGCTTGACCTTACCGTCCTTCCACAGAGCCAAGATCTTCTCAACGGTGGAACGAACGTACTCCGATCCACCCTGCTGATACAGCAGGTGTCGCAGATTGAAGCCGGTCAAACTCTTGTTCTCGTCGAACAGCTTGATCGGGGACACTTTGTCCACCTGCCACCACTACAATAATTCAGAAAATAGGATTAAACTTTTTGGTTTTTTTTGTCAAACCAAGAGGAACCTACCGAACGAGCAACGCTGAAGAAGCTCTTGGTTTCTCCTGTGACGACATTGGACGATCCGTACAGAATGTACTTGCCCATGGGTTTCAACAGTCCGTAACCTCGGCTGCATTCCTCGCCGCACAGGCAGTCCATGACCACGTCGACACCCTCGGTTGTGATCCTGGAAGCAAATAAGCAATCATCCAATTGTACCATGTGACTTAACCCACGCTGAAACTCACTTTCTAACTTCATTGACATAGTCGGTTCTGTCGATCAGGTGATCGATCAATCCTGTGGCAGCCAGGGCTTCGTGCTTACCCTTGGAGCAAACACCGAAGATGGTTACATTCGGAATGGTGCGTGCAAGCTGGACGACGGCTTGACCCTATTGCGAGGAGAGAAAAAAGGTTTGGTTTACCACTCATCATAAACATATTTAAAGATGGAAATTAGCGAATCAAAACCAAAAATTTGCAATCCGTCATGCGAGGGGCGATTAAAAGCCGATTATTTTTTATTGCCTGATGAGACTGATTTCATGACTTCAGCGGGGAAAAAAAAAGTTATGACATAATCACCCCTGCCATATCAATTTATCACAAATGTGTCAAGAACGAATCCGCGCGAAAGGACTTTCACCAGTTGTGCGCGAGCACATACAGCACATGTAGGTCGTGTCGTGTGATGCCTTGCATGTCGGGAACAGGAAGGAAACCCGGGAGGGTCAGCTTCACTGCTGGATAGATTTGCCACTATAATAGATGAGAACATATCATCGTATGCTATTAATGTCATAAACATGCTCGTTTTCCAACTTTTTCCCGTAATGGTCGCTAATTATAGTGACGGAGGGCACTAGACTGCCGATTGACGCCACTATTGGCGCTTGTTGAAAGATCCTTGGGGAACACGGCAGCATTCTACCATACAAATAACAAACTGGAGGAAACTAGTGCAAGGTTTTGCAGTCACGAAGTGTTTTCATGGACAGTTTATAAGAATTTCAGAACTTTTATCGAACAAGGTTAGCAAGGTGCTTACATATTTATACAAAATATGTGGTTAATTTTCAATTTTTTTCTTTGATTAAAAAACGCATTGTATGATCCAATTCACCCCTTCTTGACGCATGTTTTGCATGTTATGATTAAGCACAGGGCTGTTACAAGATTTTTAAAACTCGCAAGTAAATGTTGGACTAACATACCTTTCCTATCCCTACCAGTTACAAGGACGTGGTCAGGACAATCGTTATCTGTTGGAGAGGGATATGTCTTTATCTGGGACATAGTGATTATTTCCTAGTTTGAATGATACTTTGGTGCTCCCTTCCAACCCAGTTTATTTATATAATGAAAGTTTATGTAATGGAGAAATTAAATATATCAGAACATTATGTAAATATGAAATAATGAAAATAAATTTATCTGGATAAATTACTTGATATTCTACAATGAAAATATTGTACATACAATATGATGCAGCTCTATGTCTCCTCAGCTTCCAATATAAGAAAGTTGTAACCCTGAAATGTCCAGGTTATATTATGCAAAAAAATATTTTTAGCTCAAATAATAGGTACTTGATATTTTTCAAAAATGAAAAAAAAAAAATTGGATGTATAACAAACAGGGCTACAAATAAAATGGGCCTCCTATCTTGTCTACATGATGTCATGCATGACGAGAAACTAATTTCCCGGTTTTTAATATTCAACAAAAAACGAAATTGTACGCATTAAAAAAAAAAAACGCGGCCGACTGAAAATTTTCGGAGGTTATTTGCGGGGAAAATAAAAGCAAAATTACAGAAAGTATTTTTGAAGCTGAAAGTCTAAATTCAACTTTATGAGTCACTTTATGTATCCAAAACAAATCATTGATCTTTCGAGATACTTTGAAAAATCAATTTCTATCACTTTTTATGCTCGATACATCTTATGATTACAAAGAGATTATGGTCACTAGGCCAAATGTTACCCGGATAAATAGGTCATAAGACAGTATTGTGAAAAATAAGAGATTTAATGGAAGAAGAAAAAATGTTTCAGAAAAAATTAACTTAATACAAATGAGAATTAGAGGACATTGTTATCGGGATATCGAATAAAGAAAATGGGTCTTCACTTTGTTGTCTATACTAACATAAATATTAAACTTTCAGTACTCACGCTGATGTACAAAGTTAAACACGAAAAAAATATGTAAAACCTACTGACGTTGGAACTTGCCCAACGTGAAACTAAACATGGTTCATTAAATTTAATACCCACGTCCAATAGACCAATACTTGAAGAATATTACTGAAAGGTTATATACTGAAAGCAATTAGTAAATTACTTAAAGATAAAACAAGTATGATTTAAGAAGATTCCCAAGATTATATGACTTTGAAATTTGTGTAAAGTCTGAAACAAGAACTTTTCTTCAAAATTTGTGATTAATAACAATCTTCGTGATGCAAGATTTGGAGAAAAAATAATTCAAATTTGAGATTTTGATTTTTTTTTTCCAGATCACAGATTTGAAGAAAAAAAATATCATATTTATGAGTCGTGGAGGGATTTTAAGGGTTATAACAAATTACAGAACAATCTATAGAATCTTGCGGACAAACCCTGGAATTTTTAGTAAAATTTAAAAGTATTCAAACTGTTGACTTCAAACAAATATTAAGGAGAATTCCCTGATAATTTTCGAAGAAGTTTTGAGCAGAATTCAGAAACATTCTGACATGAAGTCCTTAGAAATTGGTAGATGAATTTGGAAGGATTTCTGTGGAAAAGAATGCAAGTATTAAATTAAATTCTTATGTAATTTTAGAAGATTTCAAACAGAGTTATAATAAAAAAATTAAAGGTAAATATCGACGTGATTCTTAAGAGATTTGTATGGGGATCGCGAGGAAAATGACAGATGATTTTTAAGAAGAATTCCAAGAGAATTAGGATGAGAATTCAACATATGTTCTAGGAGTGTTCTGGGGATAATTTCAACCCTAGTGCGAGAGATTCATCACAGAACTCCAGCAAAATTGATTGCAAAAAAAATTGCTGATGATTACAAAGAAATTCTTTAAAATACTCCATGGGGCTTCTAAATAAAATTTTGAAAGATTTTGTTGTTTTGAATAGAGTTAAAAGAAAATTTTGAAAAGAGTTTCAGAGAAATCAAAGTCTCCGAATAGGTTCAAGGGAATTCTAAGAAGGATTCCAATCAAATTCTTAGAAGGGTTTCAAGGAAATTCCAAAAAGAATTCAACGGTAATTATTACGCGGTGTGTTTTCTGGTTCATTTCAGCAGAATTCTATGATAATTCAGAGCAGAATTCCAAGTTAATTCTGGAATTCATATCATTAGAATTCTGAAAAACGAAAATAAATACCCCGGAGAAGAATAGTTCAGTGTCGGTTTTTTTCAAATATTTGTTTCCAAAGTCCAGCATCTTCAATATTTTCTTTTAAGGCCCATGCACATTACATCTGAGATTGGAACGATAAAAATCAATTTGAAATACTGCTTCATGATTATGTTCTTAAAACAAAGACTAAGACTGTATAACTATAACTGTAGAAAATTATGTAGCAAACAGAGCAAGACATTCAATTGGTAAAGAATCACTCTTTTTCTGAAATTCTGGGGTAAAAATTTGTTCCTATGGTGTGATTAATTAATTTTTCCCAGTTCTCTTGCCGAATTGCCGGCTTTTCCCGGTTTTCCCTGTTACTTTTCAAATTCCCGGATATTTCCCGGTATTCCCGGTTTGCTGGCCACCCTGCTAATGCTAATGCTGTTACAAGTTTTTTTTTTTAAATTTGATCCACGAAATCCGTGATTTCAAATATTAACCCACAACAAATTAAAAACTGTATTAATTGCTATAAAACACTATTTGTATTACTACTACATGGCATTTCAAACTTATAGTTTATAGCATATTAGCTTTTTGCCTGCTCTCAACTAAGTGTTCTATGAAGCAGTTCCATATTTTAATTGAGAGCTTTTTAATGCCTCGACCATCCTAAGCCCAAGGAAGTTGAAGAATTTTTCATCCCGAAAAATTAGTAGACCGAACGGGAATCGACAATGGACTAGCTTCGTAGCTGCGCCTAGACCGACTGAGCTGAGGGGGTATCGTTTTTACCCATTAAAAAAAAAATAATGTAGCATCTTCATTTATTTATGTTCTGAGTAGTATAGATTCCGAGCATTTAGTAAACATAATAAAACACCCTTACATCATGAGATTCTATTGAATAAAAGCAGCCTAGCATTTCCGAAACATTATTTTAAAACATTTATGCATTTCTAAATAAAATGCAAAAACTTGAAAATGACATCCAAATCCCAATAAAAAGTGAAAAATAAAATCATAGAACGTCTTGCCATGCAATACATTTAATTTGAGGTTTTAGGGAAAATTTTAAAGTATTTCTAAGGAAAAATCCAATGGAATTGAATTATGAATTCTGAGGATCGTTTCAACAAATATTTGAGGAAAATTTCTTTAGAATTCTGAGAAGTATTCCAAAGAAATTCCGGTGATAATTTTTGGAAAATTCAAAAGAGAGTTCCATGGAAATTATGAGGAGCATTTTTAAGAATTAACGCTCCGAAAACGATGCCTTCTGTAAAATATGTAACGACAAATTGGCAATGTTTGAAAAATCATTGCTCATCAATTAATGAATAGATTTTAAATCTATTGATACTGAATATATCTTTAAAATCTGTTATTTCGAATGGCGCAAATAGATTTGTAATTCGTCAATAAATAGCAATTTTGCCGTTACACATTTTACCGGAGGCATCGTGTTCGGACTGTTTATGGGAATTCTGAGTATGTTAATTCCACGGGAATTTCAGGAGAATACTAAGTAAATGCTGAGGAGAACTCCAAATGGATTTTTTCTCGGAGCATTTTTCGGGGAATTGCTAAAAATATTAATAAAATGAAGAGCATTGCAGAGTGAATTCAAAGTTTTCTGAAATAGATATCCATGAGAATTATGGAGGAAGTTAGAAGAGAATTCAATTGTTTCATAAAAAATTTCAAGATCCTGGACACAGAAAAAGGATCAAGATTCTTAGATTGGGATAAAAAGGAAATTCTGAGGCATAGATTTTTTTTTTAAGATTTCATGCTTAGAACATTATATCACAGACAAACAGACATAAAACTCGAAAACTGTTCATCGAACAAGCATTTAACGGTCAATTTAAAAGTATCGTAGTTGGTAGTACCGCCACCTGTGGCACGCATAGTCTATTCCCTTGCGTTTGACGTTTACAAACTACCGCCATCTGTTCAGCGTACTACCATAGTGTACTCAACAGATGGCGGTAATGTTTTAGCGACGATGTTTTACAGTGAGAAATATGCAAT